CCCCACCAGGGGTGCAAGCCCCGGGGTTAGGGTTGCCCCAGGCCCCAGTGCCCCCCAGCCCCACCAAGTGAGCACGTGTGGGGCTGAGCTGGGCCTTGCAAAATGGCCTCGGAGGCAGTGAAGGTGATCGTGCGCTGCCGGCCCATGAACGAGCGTGAGAAGGCTCTTGGCTGCAAGACGGTTGTCAGCATGGAGAGTGCGCGGGGTCAGTGCTTCCTCCAAAACCCCACTGCCACTGGCGAGCCCCCAAAGCAGTTCACCTTCGACGGGGCATACTACAAGGAGCACAACACGGAGCAGATCTACAATGAGATCGCCTACCCACTTGTGGAGGTGAGTGGTGCCTGAAGCAAGCTGGACACAGCCAACACAGAGCTTGGGGCATGGACTGAGGAGTTTTATGTGGGTGATCCCTAAGTTGAACTCATTTATGGACAGAAACAGCCCTGTCCACTCCTTCAAGAGGCTTATCTGCAACCCTGAGGTACAGAAGAGGGCAAAACAGCATCCTGGCTGTCAGCTGGGAAACTGGGAAGAAAAAAAGAACTTTTCCAGCAGCTAGAGGGGCACTGAGGATAGAGTTACATTTAATTCTTTCAGGCGGGTGTTTATATGAAAGATGAACCCCCCCGAGCAGGCCCTAGAGATGGCAGCTGGACAGAAACTGCAGTGGGAAATGATGTGAGGAGGAAGGAGACAAACAAGACTCCTGATGATTTTAGGGAATTTTTTATTGTCCAGTGAGAAACCTTTGAGAAGACAGGGAACCTCAGCCTGTTGTAGAACAGGAAAATGAGAAGAGATATGTTTGTTGCCCGTTAAACACATCAGGGTGGTAAACAGCTACTGTGAGAAAAGAACCACATGAGCAAAAAAAAAAAACCCAACCCCCCAAAAAACCAATTTTGTTAGAAGATACAAGGAGAAAATGGCCAGTAATAATTTTAAGATGGAAGGTCCTGACTGGGAGAGTGAAAGAGTAGATTATTAGGTTTATAGTTTATTTTTCTTTATATTTAAACCTGAAGAATTCCCAATATTTTCTGTTCCTACCGTGCTTCTCTGAAATAGAAACAAATGAAGGCAAGGCCTTCTTTCAGGCAGCTTTCTGAGAAAATTATTCTAGGCTAGAGACCATCCCTTTGCCCACCCTACAAACAAGATTTTTCTGCCCTATGGCAAAAATATTCTGATCTTCTAAGTGTTGCCAGCTGCTGTTCCACTTTGCAACACCTGCATTTCTTCAAGTTTTCAATTTCTGAGAGAAAGCCATAGATTTCTATGCTAGCGTAATGAATTTTAAAAGTACTATTATATTCTGATGGCATGTGACGATCAAGCAGCTGTTTGAGGTTTACTTCCAGCTCTTCCTTTAAAATACCACCTTTTAGAGGGTGGGATAGAATCTGGACAATGTTCTTTCCGGTTATACTAAGGATGAAGATAATGGCTATTTTATTCAGTTTTCCTCTATTTCTAGGGTGTCACCGAAGGCTACAATGGCACCATATTTGCCTACGGCCAGACTGGCAGTGGAAAATCATTCACCATGCAGGGAATCGTAGATCCTTCTACCCAGAAAGGCATAATCCCCAGGGCGTTTGAGCACATTTTTGAGAGCATACAGGTAGGTGTGTGTGGATGTGAAACAGGTCCTGTAGTAAGATGGTGTGATGTTGAGAAAGGTGATTTTTGGTGCAAGAACAGGGACAGGCTTTTGGGTGTGCTGTCTCTTATCCTAAAGCTGAGGCCTGTGTAGAGTCATGTGAACTCCACCCTCATCTCTGCTGGCTTTAGGGACTTGCACTTGAGATATTTAAACCCAAAGTCCCTGTAGTGAGTGGTTACACCTGGGAATGTGATGCCAGGTGAGATTTGATGAAGTGCTGAAGGGAGGTGGGTGCCCAGCTGGCATTCAGGATCTACGTGGGCTGCCTACTTGCCTTCATTTTGAGAATCTTACCCAAAAATCCTTCCTGTTTTGGGCAGTGCGCTGAAAATGCCAAGTTCTTGGTGAGAGCTTCCTACCTGGAGATTTACAATGAAGACATACGAGACCTTCTGGGAGCTGATACCAAGCAGAAGTTGGAGGTGAGGTGGAGTCAATGTGTCTTAATTAGGAGGTGCTTTAATTTGCTCAGATAAATGTTATTGTGAATGCCTCACCGAGGTGCAATATTATGCTCTGTCAGAAGCCAAACACCAGAATATGAAGATACAGTGATAAATATGGAAGCTGAGAGGAGATTTTGAGGGGATGTAGTGAAAGTTTTGTGGCAGAAGGAACAGGATCCAGTCCCACGTGTCCAGCTTGACAGCGGCCAGTAATTTAGCATATGCTGGCGAAAATCATTCCCGGGCAAAGACGGAATAAAGTGCTCATGGGGCAATTTCTTCCTAATCCTCTTCATCTCATGGCTCTCTCTAAAGCTGGAGGATTCTGTGCCTTAGAAATGTTTAATCTGATCCAGGATAGCTGTGGATGATCTCATTATCTGTCTAAACCATAAAAGGCTGATCCCTTTTTGAGGGGCTAGAGCAGACATCGCTCCCCATGAGAACACATGGGGAAGGCGGGCGGTTTCCAGGAGCACAGGAGGTAAACTTTCCTGAAATCCTAATCAAGGGGCTGATTTTTATAAAATTTGCCTCCTGGTGGTTTTGCAGGTCTTTTTTTGCACGTACTCCTGGGGGGGGAGCTGCAAATCTCCTGTCCTAATTTACTTCCCTGCGGGACTGCCCTTGTGAAGAAACCCGAGGCACGAGCACCATCTGCCGCAGAGACGCGCCGAGACGGTGACAAACCCAAACTGCCTGACGGGGCAGATTTTTTTTTTAACAGGCCCCTGACTTTAAGAGAAGCAAAACCCTCTCTGCTTGCATGTTCCAAGCCTTCACCTGTGTGGAGAGGGAGGGTGGGAGAAGAGGACCCAGCTTTGCTGCAGTTTCCCATCCTTTGTTCCACATCAGCAGTGACAGCGGTTTCCATGACTACTGCAGTTGGCACTGGGAGGGCAGGAGTTGGGCAGAGCAGTTTCCAGGGTAACACCAGCGCACCCCCCAACAGCCACTGCCTGTTGCTGCTGCCTCCACTGAGTAATTAAAGGAGGGATGTCCTGCGGAGACCCAAAGCCCCACTGCTTTCTTCTGTGACCCCCAATTTCTCCTCCAAAATCCCATTTCTGTTTGTTCCTTTGCTTTTCAATGTCAGTGTCCACAGTGACTCTGAAGTCCAGAGTCTCCTCCTGTGTCATAAATCCCTGTGATGAAGGGGGGTAACTGGAATCATCCAGGGCGCTCATGGCTTTAGAACAAGACTAAAATCCTGCCTAGTTTAGTTTTCAGCCACTTCTGCTCTGTCCTGTGTTGATTTGTTTTCAGAAAACACTGTTTTACATCGTTTCTTGTGGTGCGTGCATCACTAAAGTATCTAAGGCTCTTTGAAAGTCACACCACCAAACACAGTGTCTGTCACTCTGTGACACAAAGTCATGACAACTGTACCTTGATATCTCAGCTGACACGATAAAGATAGAGTTTTGGTTATGAACTCAGCAGATGTGGGGCGTAACGTTGCTGTTGAAAATGAATTCAGCTCGTTTAAGATTCCCAGCGCAGAGGAGGCTGGTGTAGGAGTGCAGGGATCTCTTGAATGTTTCATTTTTTTTATGTAGGGACTTTCTACGTTTGATGGGTCATTCAAGATTTGGAACATTTCAATCTTTTATTAGCATGCTGTACGAAATTTCTCTTCTGCATGAATGATAATTGCTGAAAAGATGCTGTTAGGTATTTAATGCTCTGTCTCTACCCAGGTCCCTGAATAGGATTTTAAAGCATCGCAAAAATGAACTAATCTGGGGAAAAAATATCCTAGTCCGCCCGTGCATGATGGGTGTGAGTTTGGGAATTTTGTCAGTGAGATCAAGACGCCCTCTCAGAGCGGAGGGGTTCGGCAAAGCACCGGTGACAATATCTGTGACTGTTGCATCTGTGCTTTGATTTTTAAAAAAACTCCCTGTGACTGAAGAGATATTAGAGCCTTTGCCATAATTGGTGAAAAACATTTCAGATCTTATTTTAAAACATACAGTTTAATAATAGGGGAGGTGAAAAGCGGCTCAGCACAGATTTCTTATGGCCTGGGTGACGTCTGAATCAATCAGCAAACTTTTAACTTTTCTTTTTGTCTGCAGAGCCATGAAGGTTGCTCCCTCTTTCTGTATGGTTTTATTCCTCCTTCAGGAATGTGAAGACTTCTTGGTGACAACCAGCTATGTTTTTGTCGTACTGCAGTTTAATTTCTCTGCATGTAAAACCTTTGTAGTCTTCAAGCTTCCGGACAGTTTCCAGCACGCCTTCCCACAGTCTCAGTGTGTCTTGTTCTAATCTGTCCTGCCTTGTCCCCATTTGCAGCTGAAGGAACACCCAGAGAAAGGGGTGTACGTGAAGGGGCTGTCTCTGCACACCGTGCACAGCGTGGACCAGTGCGAGCGGATCATGGAGACGGGCTGGAGAAACCGCACCGTGGGTTACACCCTCATGAATAAGGACTCCTCCCGCTCCCACTCCATCTTTACTGTCAATATGGAGATCTGCACCATAGGTAGGAAGCTGCATGGCCTGCATTAGGCCTGGGCCTAGCGCAGCTCAGAATCTGTGCAGTCTGACCAGTCACCTCACAGCAAAACAGATCTTAAATTATTTTAGGTCCAGTAGAAATCAGAACTGCGCCCTGACGTGGACATTCTCCGCAGTGTGAAATGGCTGAGTATTCAAAGTATTTTTTTTTTCCTCGTTCCCCTTGGGAGAGAAATATCTTAAACATATTTAGTTCTTCTTCCAATTCTTTAGCTTCCCAAACCTTTATTTCCAGCAAAGGGGACTAAATTTTACAGCCCATACAACGGCTTGGCGTTCATGCATTGTACACCCTGGAGAAACTTCTATCATGTTCTGTCTTGCAAGTCAGATCATTTCACCCAACAACTCCTTCACTGAGCTTAATCATGGAGCGCATCTTTTGAGCAGACAGCTAATCTGGGTTTTAAGATGGAATAAAAGAATCCCTTAATAATGTTTTAATGACTAATTTTCCTTTCTCAAGCATCTTGTTGCCATCGACGTTTCTGTAGCTGATAAAGCTGCCTCGCCTGGGTCTGAACACAGACCTTGAAAGGTTTGGTGTTTTTCTGGGACTGAGCAAGGACTTAGTCTCCTATATTCTGCCTAGTTCTTGACCCTGGCTGAAGCTGTGAACAGCTCACCTTTGTTGTCTCCAGCTGTTTCAGCTCACGGGGTTACATGATGTCTTCCTAAATTGTGGTTCCAGATGCTGGTGACTGTACCTCATTTTCCTCTATTCAAAAAAGGTGTAGAGGGATTTGGGGAATTTCTCAATTAGCACAGCTGGTGGCTGCTAATTCTTGCATTACACAGGTCCGTAAATTCCCAGTTTTAATCCTAACAAGGAAAAAGAAGCGTTTACACTTCTTTTTTTGTGATCCAGATGGGTGCAGGGCTCTTAATCTACCCTGAAACAACTTCTCTGATTTAAAGCTTTGGAAACTTGTTACAGGGAACAGGATGGCAGGTGGGGAAACTCGCAGTTTTGGCAGAGAAATGGAAGACAGCTGGAATATTTGAGGAGAAAGTTGAGGTTTCTGGCACAATCCCCGTAGCTGGATGGTTCTGCTGGGGTAATTGTTAGTTGAAATAGTTAATAAAGTTGGTATTTATGTTGTCATCTTCAGGCTTCATGAACAGGTGCATGGGGAAGTTCAAATTTATTTTCCAGTTGAGTCTGTAGTAAATTGTCATTTACAAGGAGTTGATATTTTAAAGGATCTCTTTGCAATTATGCGGACTAAAATTACTCTTTTTTCAAATAACAGACTCGGGAATTATGGCAACTACTGGGCCCTCTGGCTGCAGATGTATGAAACGCGCATGTTACCATCAGTGTTTTTACCGTATTTAGAGCAGCAGATGTTTTATTCCTTTACGCAGTGCTTAGGGATTGATTTGTTAATGAGAGATGCTGTAGATTTGGCCAGCGCTTCTGCCACCAGCACTGGCCGAGGGGCTGTACTGGAATGAGACGGGCAAGACTTCGGGGCTGCTGCAGGCATTTTAGTGAGAGTCTGGGGACTTTGTTACACCATGGAAACAAAACCGCTGAGCTCCTCCATGCAAACAAACAGCCTCTGTGGGTAAAAGGACTGGCAGGAACCAAACCAACTTTCTAATTGCCTGTCATTGTTTACAGGAAC